CTCCTCCTCCTCCTCCTCCTCCTCCTCCTCCTCCAACACACCCTGCCCCTCAACCCACTCCTCCCACGCCCTCTCCGCAAAAAGCTCATACGGTTTGTCTGCCGCCCAGGGAATCGCCAGCAGCGCGAAGAACCTCAATTCCAGTTCCAGGTGCACGAGCATCGCTTTGGCAGTGTCAGCGTCATCAGCAGCGCCATGAGCCGGCCGCCATCCACAGAGGGGACACTCCTCCGGCACGCCGGTATGCGGAACTCCCCCCGAACCCACCTTCCGGGTCTGCGCAGCAGCAGCACGACCACCAGCAGCTTTCGTTGTGGCGGAGGGTGCTGCTTCTCCCCCCAAAAAGGCATCATACTCCTGCCCGATATTCCGCCCCGTCTCGAGGTGTTCCACCCAGCCCTGCACGGTGACGAACCCCTCGGCCTCGTGGGATTCGCAGCCCGCGGCTAGGCAGGTGAGGTGGCGGAGGTCGGAGGTGAGGTGGCTGCGCCAGGAGGATCGGTCGTCGAGTACGGAGGTGGGGAGCGGAGTGAGGCAGTAGGGGCATTGGAAGGTTTCCGGGTCGTCGGGAAAGGTGGTGGTGGTGGAGGACGGCGGCTCCGTCCAGGACCCGTGAATCACGGCGGCGGCGTTCGGCGGCGCGGGAAAGTGCACGCCTCGTTCCTTGAAGGCGTGAAACTGGTCGAGGGTGTACACGTCTGAGGAGTGCTGTTGCAGCGCGAGGAGGTAGTGTCGGCGTTTGAGGTTGAGGCGGATGAGGCGGCGGTGGAGGGGGGTGAGGTTGAAGTCGTCGCTTGGATCTTGGGCATCACGAACACGAACAGGATTGCGAATGGGGCTCTGCTGCCGCCGACTCGCAAACCACGCCGTCAACTGCGCCTCAAACTCCCCGTACGCCTCGGCGTCGAACCGCTTGTCCGCGATCTGCTGCCACAGCGCCGGGTGGACTTTGTCGTCCTCGAGCTCGTCGGTGATGACCGCCCCGAGGTCGTGCAGCCACCACCGCGCGGTGTCGAACGTCCGCCGGATCTGGTCGCGGAGGTGCCAGCGCCGTGTCTCGACGTCTTGGCTGGACTGGATGGTGTCGAGGGCGTCGGATGGGGGCAAGGGGTGGGAGGTGCTGGTGAGGTGCTGGGTGGCGGCGGAGGCGTCCAGCGCGGCCAGCTTCCCACCCAGGTCGAGGAGCTGGCGGGCAGCCAGGCGCAGGTGCCCGATGTGCAGGGTATAACCCGATGAGTCCTCGAACGCGTTGCGAGCCAGTTCTTCGAGGTGCAGGTAGCCCCGGCGGTCGTAGACCAGCTCCCGGAAGGTCCGGTAGAAGTCCTGCGCGGTGGTGGAGTAGTCTGTCAGGCCGCTGTGTTGGGTTAGCTGGTGAAGGTACTGGCACAGCCAGGTGGAGGTGAGGAGCGTACTCATCTTGCTGGAGGGTTAGGTTAGGTTAGGTTAGACTGCAGTTGCAGTCTGTCGAGTCTTATACCGGGGATGATGCACGTTTCAGTCTGTTGAGTTTTGGTTTATACAGACAGGTGATGCAGTCAAGACACAAAAAGACAGGGACTCAATATTTATACCCGAAACCCAATACATCTACTCTTGAGGCTGTACATATCCAGCAAAGAACAACTCCCATCCCGATCCCGAAACAAAGACACCCAGGCCCATTGACTCCCCCTTCAAAAAAGCCTTATTCTATACAACCCCAACAAAAGGATAACGATAATATCCTCCAGACAACAACCTGAAAGCACATCCAGCAGATCGGAGAAGTCCTTACCCGTAGCATGGCAAGGCAAGTTAGCTGATCAATGCAGCAGCAGCAGGAGGAGGAGCAGCAGCAGTATAGTACCCACCTCCCACCTCCCCACCTCCCCCACCAGCAACATCACACAACCACACAACCAACCACAAAAGCCAACGTGCGACCCGCAAGGCAAAACACTTGAAGGAAATACTGGTACTGACCCTGAAGGTCCAAGATACTAAAAACCAGGGTACAGATCGGCGCCTCCCGGGCCGCCACATGCCGTTATCTATCCCGTTGATTGGGTGGCTACCCCAAGGGGCCCGGGATCTCCGTCGGAAGTCCCTGAAGAATATAGCCCGCAAAACCCTAACCAGCCAATCCCTCCTTTTCCTTTGGTCTATGACCCTGAAGATAATCTCGAATGCGATGCACGGCAATGCAGCTCCAATGGCACCCGATGTCACCTCAGTCGGAGCTTCATGCATGCGACTGGATTGAATGTCGGTGATCGGAGGATTCCGACTGCCTGTCGAGATACTAGTAGATAAACCGGGGGATGGAAAGAGATAAATAGAGGTACACGTACAGTACTACAGTATCCTCAATCTACCTCGTCCACCCCCTCCTCATCAACTCAATCGCCCTCCGTCCTCAACCCAGAAAAGGAAAACAACCCACCAAAATGGCCGCGATCAAGGTACGCTTCACCTACCCCCCAACCAACCCCACCCCCCCTCCCTCTCCGATGAATCACCCTAAACCTCCTGAAGACAATCCTCCTCCCCCTCCTCCTCACCACCTCGGTGGCCCTGGCCGCCCCCAAAGCCGCCGAGTCCTGCGCCTACACCTGCGGCAGCACCTGCTACTGGGCGAGCGACGTCAGCGCGGCCCAGGCGAAGGGCTGGTCGCTGCACGAGTCCGGTTCGACGGTGGACGACTACCCGCACGTCTACCGCGACGACGAGGGGTTCGCGTTCGGCGTCTCCGGCACCTACTACGAGTACCCGATCCTGAGCAGCTTCAAGGTGTACACGGGGGGCTCGCCGGGGGCGGACCGGGTCATCTTCAACTCCAACGATCAGCTGGCGGGCGTCATTACCCACACCGGGGCGAGTGATTATGATGGGTTTGTGGAGTGTTCTTAGTTTCGGTTCTGGTCTTTAGATTGGGGGACTTGAGGGGAAGGGTTAGTTTGGGGGGTGTAGGAGAGTGAACTGTGTGTGTGTGTTCTTGCGCTACTGTTTCGGTGGATACTGGTAGCTTGAAGGGGAAAGAAAGGTCTGATGCTTTGGAAATTGATCACATTGAGAGTGAAGATAACCGAGTCTATGTTTGTAGAAATATCTATATGGTTTTCTATACTTATATATCGGATAACCCAGAAAACCAAACTCAGGTATACTACAAGCTACTTTTTAGAGGATTTATGGTCATATTATTTTCCTTCTCAAGATAAGTAATTAGTAAAATGTTATAGAATCAAGAATAAGGCATGGCGAGTTAATATTACAACTCCGCAAAGATAATATCATGACAAAGCACTTTCACCGCCCTGGCTACCAATCGAGGGATCGCCGTCGTACCGTACAAGGTAAACTGTCTATCACCTCCTCTAGACAATAAGATATAAAGCTCCTCCGCGAAGGCCAATCCTAAGTCGTGATAAACCCAGCAAACCTCAAGTTATATAGCCCAGTTCCCCTTGTCCTCAGACGCCCTCACTGGTCTGTCTCCTCCCCATGTCTATACGGAATCTGCTTTCTCGCCCTCATATTTGCTCCTCTGTGCCGTTGGCTGCCCATATCTTCCTTCTCCAACATGGATCCAGGAGGCTCACGAGCTCATGCCGAACGTCGAGGAGTCAGTAAGACCGTTACTGTTCGATACAATGCTGATTCGCGAACAAGAGATGGCACCCGATGATCCCCTTTTCTCCTACTCATCCGGCCGGTTCCTCTACAATGAGGTCGCCCGCCTCAACGAACGGTATATGAACTTCGATGTTGCTGCACTTAAGACAGCGATCGGGAAGCATGTCGGCCAGTTTATAGGCTCTCTCCTGCTTTCGTTTGGAATGACATCGTCTAATTTCCAAAGACCTGACCCCTAGCAACGTCTTTGTTTGCCCTGAAACATTCAGGCCCACTTGCATTATCGACTGGCAGCACACCACAATCACTCCGCTACTTCTTGCCGCTGGTTATCCGAGACTGTTCGAGAACCCCGACCCCGAGCCGCCGGCGGAGTCAACCCCGCCGGCGGTGGATAAAATCAAGCGGGCCTGGCCCTTCCAGGATCACGAGGAATCCTATTAGTGAGCGCTTCGATTACTTTGTATCTGGTAGAGGCGTTTTCATCATCAAGCACACATAGTCGCTGTAGTCCCAGCTCGAGGCGGCCTCGCCCCTTCCCCTCCCCCGGGGATCATTTGAGCAAGTGCTCATACAATGGATGATTCACAACCCCCAGTTTGACATTTGAACTAGACCGGTGCCAAGGGGATAAGGGATAGTGGCTGGGCGAACACGTTAAACTGGTTACCGAGAATACATGTGCATGTGGTCATTTGTCAACCATGGTTGTCCGTGATCGAGTTGATATTGATGCCATGTCACGGCCGCACCACCCCCATGTCATTCTCCCCATCTCCACAGCGTACGTAGTTGCTGTCTGTGCCCCGACCCCACAGCACCGACATTCAAATCCGCCTGAGATCTGCGCAGGAGAATAATAGACTGCCTATGTCCGGGAGCCGAAGAACTCGTCCAGGTGTTTCTTTTCCTTTCTTTTCCCTTTTCCCTTTCTCCTTTTCTCCTTTTTCCTTCTCTTTTTCGATGATGACAGCAAATCAACATGCGTAGATGTACGAGCGGGAGTTGGGGGCTGTCGAAGCGTCCTGTCGTCGTCTATAGCTCGCTCGCCTGCCTTCCACAAGATGGCGCCACGACAAATACTTGGTTTGCGACAGGCCCAGTCGAAGTAAATTCTGTCTTCTCGCCGTCCTCTCAGGTGTCAGGATCGAGATTGTTGGATACGACCAGCGGATGTAAGCCGGAGTGGGTCACGTTCGAATGACCCCGCCGGAATTTTGACGGGAGACGACGAGCCACAGGTAGGATCTGAAGGGTTGCCAGCAGGCTGGAAGTGAGATCTTGCATATAAGAATAACGATATACAAACGATACAGTGTTCCCAGATTCTGTCTATCATGTGACCCGGCGAGCCAGGCTTATGTACACCGACAGCTGGTACATACAGCAAACAAATCCGACTACCGCCACTTATTATCCCACCCGCCCTGTTCCACGGCAAAGGCGATCGCCAACTCACTGAAGCGAGCCATGTGCTAACCCCAAGTATCAGTAATTGATGTACGCTGTGAGGAAAGGGTGGACTCACGTCAATCGAGAAATACCCCGTCTCATCGTCCACGTCCATCGTATCGTTGATGCCATGGATGTACGGATCGAAGTTTCCGGGCATCTTCCCGCCGGCCAGGGGGTTGCCCTCCGACGCGAAAGCTGACGGGTAGTTGAGCTGCGTGAAGGACATGTAGTCCGATCCCGCACCGCTGTTGACGAGCAGTTAGAATCGGAGTGACATTACGACGAAAAAAAAAAAAATACGTACGCGCCCAGATCATACACCTCCGTCGGAATCGAGATATACTCGCGACTCAGGTTCACCGTCCAGTTCGTCAGCGCCGCATCCGCCTCCGTCGCGATGAACCCGATCTCCTCGGTCGAGTTGTGCGCGATGAACGCCGTCATGTCCTGCCCCCCCCATCGTTAGTCCCCCACACGGGATGATGCAGATAACGCGACAAAAAGGCAACGTACAAACTCCAACATCGCGCCGATCCGCGCCCCCTCCTCCTTCTTGTACCGCGCCACGGCCTGACTGCCCAACAGGCCTCCCTCCTCGGCCGCGTACCAGTGGAACTCCACGGGTCCGTTCTTGGGCGTGTACCCGCTCGCGGCCAGCACGCGGAACGCCTCGAGGATGCTGACGGTGCCCGAGCAGTCGTCGTCGGCGCCGGGCGCGCGGAGCAGCGGGAACAGGTAGTTGGCCGAGTCTTGGTGGGCGCCGATGATGGTCAGCGGCAGCGAGAAGTTGCGGACCTTGGGCTCGAAGCGCGCGATGATCGAGGACTGGGGGAAGGAGTGGGTGAAGTACTCCAGGGAGATGTGGGTGCGGAAGGGCGATTCGTCGATGATCTTCGAACAGATTAGTCGTCCTCGTTCTTCAAGTCCCGATTGCGCGAGTCCTGTGGCAGAATACGAACCTTGGCGATGTGTTGGTAGAGCCACTGCGAGCTCATCTCGCCATGGATGCCCCCGTAGTACCGGTTGTAGTAGCTGGTCATGTGCCGGAGCACGTATTCCATGTGCGCTTGCTCGACCTGATCAAACAGGGGGCGGACATAGCGCTGGTGCGTCAAGTCCGGCAGGTCTGGTACCTCGCAAGTTAGATCGACCCTCCCACTACCAAAAAAAAAGAGACTCACTCGCCGAACCTGCGAGAGCATGCACCTGCTCCGCGTAGAAATCCTCATTCTCGGTGATATCCATGAACTTCTTCCCCTTCTGCCGCAGCACCAGCTTGTCGCCCTCGGTCATCCACTGCGGCTGGGACGCGCCGCGGACGTGCAGCAGACGCGGCTGGGCAAGGAAGTCAGCACTCTCAGGGCTCAACGCCAGAAAGGCGGCGACCGGGTCATTGGGGTGCGCGTGGAGGGCGGCGTGGACGCGGTCTTCGTCGAGGACGAAGAGGGCGTCGTCATGGCTGTAGGGGGCTTGGTTGGTGGATTCCAGGATCTGTTGGCTGCTGGCGAAAGAGCTGGACGCACCGAGTGCGGACTGGGCGGTGCTCAGGAGCAGCGGGAGGGTCAATAGAGTGCTGCGCATGGTGGAAAAGAGGAAGGTGGAGTTGTGGTGGAGGGATAAGCTGACGGGAGGGATGGAGTGGGTGCGATAAGAGAGAGGAGGTATTTGTATTTGTAACCCGAGGAACCGGACCTCGGAGCTGCGGCACGGACCCCGAATCACGGATAAGATAAGCCTTGGTCGCGCTGGAAGATTGCCGATTGGTCGGGAGGTAGGATTTTACAGGCAGCACTCCTTTTACTCCGTAAGACATCTAAGGTGTCATGGATTGCGTGAGAAGCGAAGATGAAGTGTCTTGAGAGAGTTTTGTAGCTGTAGCGGTCATGCGGAGAAGGGAAGGCGGAAATCTACGGCAGATTGCAGCCACTAAGCCGCAGCCTAGCACGAGTCAGTACAACTATAGAACTGCTAATATAGCTACTAGTAGTGGGCCTAGATGCAACGGCAGCAGCCGGCATAAAGGTGGCAGCTGGACTGCCTTGACACGATTCCTAAAACCGACCATAGGTCAACAATATTCAAGATTATATATGATCAAAACAAAGCTTGGAAAGATCTACTTGTGTACTGGAAATCTAATTCAAAAGTGTAGTAATTTAGTATTCTTGATTATACTATACAAAAGAAACTTTCACAATACAGTTATGGGACGGTTAACATACTTCTGAACCAGAATATCAAGAGGTTACAGAATATCTACAGAGTGAAGATTATTTAACCGGCGTTTACAGATACACTATCTTCTACACCCGCAGTCTTATAAGCTAAGATACTACTAGTTGACGCCGGAGGATCAGCCGCGCGGACTTTCTCCACTCGTCTCCATTATTTGCCTATCCAAATGCGGTATCTCCTGCGGTATCTGGTCATCGAGTGAAGGAAATGTTAGAAAAAAAAAAGATATAAAGCACGCAGAGAATGTCCTGTAAATGATTCCCACTGACCAAAACAACTCTGCTTCTACGACTTCTTCTGTTTCTTCTGTTTCTTCTTCTCAATCTATCCAATCTCTTGATCGTGTGCCCAACCACTCTACAACATGCAGCTTCGCTATCTACTCGCCAGCTGCATCGCAGCCACCCAGACTGTCTTCGCCTGGGACATGAACGCCTGGCACGGCACGGAGTGTGGCGCGGCCGGGGGAGCCGAAGGATACGAGGTGGCCGACTACACTTCCACGGGCTGCTTCAACTTCGACATGGAGGACGGATACCGCATCCACTCGGTCAAGGCCGTCTTCAGCGATAGCAAATACAAGATCACCATCTACCCCAAGTCCGACTGCGAAGCCGAAACGCTGTGGCCTGGCATTGAGCTAACCACCGAGACGTGTACGGTCTTCAAGGAATGGACGACAGATGAGGTCATCTATTCGTACAAGGTCACTGCGGTCTAGACGAGCACACCGCGCAGGGCTCTTTGGTTCTGGACCTACTGAACCATCAAGGCCGGCAAGATTTCATGTTCCTGCATCAATTCTCGGCACGGATCACGCATATCCTGTTTTATTATAGAGTTCGAGGATAAACCGCTTGTTATTTTCTTTTGTTTTCTCTGATGTTTGTTCATCGGTATACAGTTTGTTTTTTTTCCTGCAACCGTTTGCAGCTTACCCGGTTACTGGTCAGTTTTCGAGGCATCTCTGAGGCGATTCATCGCACATTCGCCGTGGAGATAGCTATTCTGACATAATACAGGCCGCCATGTTGTATACACATCCTAATCGCTAGGTCATTGGTGTCGGTTTGATTGCGTCGAGGCTCGGTACTGCAGGGTCTGCTTTACATGACGATGCCAAGGCGGCATTGGATGCATTGACATCTTGCCGGGCTCAAGAGGTAGGTCGCGCGCCCCGCTTACAATTTCTCCGCAGATCAACCGGTTCACTTGCTGATGGATGATGTGAGCAGCTCAGACCTCGCCACAACGGCATCACGAACTACACAATCTCTTCAGCACATGCGACGCAAAAGTGTCCCTCATGTCGCAACGAGCATGCGTGATACGCTGATACCATGGACAAGGTTGCACGGGTGAATTGGGACGGCCGAAGATGTAGCGGGTGCAGTCTGGCTGCTATGCTGGAAGGAATGTCGCTGGCACTTGGAAGACAACAATTCTGTAAATAGAGGATCACACATGCAATTTTGTTGAGTTTTATTGCGCTTTCCTGGGAATAATACGATTGTTCAAAATAATGAGATGCTCACTGCCCGAGTCAAGCTTCACTCTCAAGGCAGAACACCATTTGGCATGATTTAGACACGATACTATCAGCATGAATAGTCTTTTTCACCAGATGCACCACATCACTAATAGTGTTGTTGTTGAGGAAGCTGAGTACTTGAATAGTCTTGTCTTTCTTACTACTATACTTTTCTTTATGTATATAATCCAATAATTAGGCATTGCCTTGACAAGGCCTGCCTCTCTTCACTATTTTAGGCGGTAAATGCCCTTTTCTCCGACAGATAAGGTGCAATAAGAGGTATTTGTAGCTCAAGCCCAGGAACCGGAGCCGCGGCATAGACCCCGAATCAGGCACCGATAAGATAAGCCTTCATTACGCTGGAATGCTGCCGATTGGTTGGGGGTGAGTGTTCTCCAGGCAGCCTCCTCCTGTAGGTAGATATTTCATAGTACTGTACATAGTAATGCGAATAAAAACCCTGAACTGTCGAGATGAACTCACTTGGAAGAGTACGCCTATTTGCTCCTTCACTCAAATTGCTCTTTCAGCGTCTTTCAGTGGAACCTCCAAGAACTCCACCCGTTGGCCCAACGCGGTGTAAAATAGACCCTTGGTACAGGGGCAGCAGGAACAAGATTTATGTCTACGTCTACCACAGGACCAGCCTGGACTTCAGTCGTTGCAGTATGAATTAAGCCCGCGGGTCCACATGCCTCGCACACTGACGTCTTTGTGGCTTATATGCAGTGCAACTGTGTAACAGTTTGACTTGTTTCAATACTTATGTAGCGGTCCTGGGGCCTCGCCCAGGCTACCGCTGACCGCCCACCTCGGTGGCCTTAGCTAGTTCCGCAGATAGCCTAACGAGTAGTCAGAATCCACCGTTCATCCACATCCTTATTAACAGTAATAGAGTTTTGGGGATAGCCGGGGCTAAGATATGATAAACATCGATTCTGTTCTAAGTGGCCCCTTTCTATTCTTAGTGAGAAGTTGACTCTTATGCAGTTGGGCAACTCACTGCGTTCTCAAGAACTATTGTTTGATGAACTGACCAAACTCTACCAACTATGCCATTCTCTCTTCCTTATTATCGGGACGCCGGTGAATTGCCAGGGCCTCTCCCTGATCAGAATGAGATTGACCAGGCAACACGAACCCTCCCCAAGACATCAGATTATGGTGGGCGCTTGGTTGTAATCCGAGACGCATTTGTTGTGAAATATGGCCCACTTGTGACTGAAAATGAAGGATATGCTCTGCTTTTTGTTGGAAAAACAGCTCAACATTGCAGCCCCACGACTGTATGCCATGTATCGCGATCAGGATACCCTGCATATTGTCATGGAATACATTCCCGGTATCTCTCTGGGGACGGCGTGGCCTTCGCTCACGGAGGCGAACAAGCACTCGATTGTGGGACAATTGCGAAGTATCTTCGTCAGATGCGGGCACTGCCATCGCCCGGGTTCTACGGCAGCGTCGACCAAGGGCCCGTCCCCCATCGGTATTTCTTTTCTCGTGAGCAAGACCCTGCGGTGACTGGTCCTATTCGGACGGAGGAAGAATTCGGAAAAGCCATCGCACTTCGCTCCCAAAATATGTGGAGCGAATGCAGTAGTCACAGCGTGCTCTCCGACTATCTTGTTCGCCACCTCCCAGTAGCACTTCGCGGTCATCCGCCCATGTTCACCCACGGAGATCTCTACCGAGAGAATGTTTTGGTCAGAAAGGTTGTGGATTCGGTCACCAATGAAGAAGAGTGTGAACTGGCTGCTCTGGTGGACTGGGAGACGGCTGGATGGTATCCTTCGCACTGGGAATACGCTCATATCTTTCCCTTATTGCGGTGGATTGATGACTGGCCGGCGTATGTGGAAAAGATCCTCGATCCCTTGCCGCTGGAGGGCGCCATGATGTGGGTTGTCTTTAGAGAAATGGAGTTTTAACTGGATGTGAGGTGCTATGACGTTGATATTGGCGTCTTTATTCGGTCCCGATGAAAGGTTTGTTAAGTGATTTGATTCTGTGTTATTCTGACTTAGTGCTTGGTAGTTAAGCGTACAGATGGAACAATATCCTTTATTCTTTCAGTTACGCCTGCTCTTTCGACAGTTCAGTTTAGATGATGCCTGAACGTTGCGATTTGTTCGGGTACACGACGGGACAGTATATTGATCAATGACGCGTGTCCACGTGCCTCGCGCATTGGCGTTTTTGTGGCTTATATGCAGTGCAACCCTGTGGCAGTTTAATTTATCTACTCCTGTACGGAGCACCTCGGCTCCCATCAACTGTTCCATTTTTCCCATGCATAGTTTGATCAATCCTGGAGAAGTACACTGACAAGAGGAAGTCAGAAAACCAAAATCAAGCTCAATCGTTCCAGGCTCGGGGCGTTACTGGACATAAGTATATAACCTCCCCCTCTCGGCCGAATGCTCGCCATAGTGGACCCTGGATTGCTCATTTCCCAGCCCGATGCTTGGATCTCCGTCCCGCCCACAACTTCCCAGTTCCTCTTCTGCAACAACCCCCCTCTAAGTCACCCATGATATACCCCCTCCCTCCTCGCCGCGGAGAATTGAGCCTCCAATAGCGGGAAGGATATGCAATCACGCCAACGGTGGCAGCGATGGTGCAGCGGAATACATCATGTATGCACGAGGGGGTATATCATCACCCATACGATGGCGCATCCACTCAGTGAACCGGGGTTCCAGACTTCTTTCTCAGGTCCACCACCACAGTCTGCACCATGACAGAGCTCACCGAGGAGAAGAACGTGGCCGTCCATCCGACACCGCAGCCCCAAGCCCCCGCGAAGCCCGGCCGCAGCAGCAGCGACAGCAGCATCGCCGAACATGCAGGCGTCAACGAGAAAGCGCTGCTCCGCAAGCTGGATTACCGACTTCTGCCCCCGCTGACAATCTTGTATCTGCTGTCGTTTCTCGATCGGAGCAATGGTATACTCTGACGATACTTGATTCGGTGGAACATGGCTAATGGTCTGATGCGGAACAGTGGGTAATGCCCGGCTGGAAGGCATGGGTACCGATCTCGGGATGTGTAGGTTGTCCTCTTCAACTGATTCTTCGAAACTGGGGGGGCCTGTGGACTGACCCTCGCGCAGCAGGAGACCAGTACCTCACCGGCCTGACGCTCTACTTCATCGGCTACGTGCTGTTCGAAGTGCCGTGCAACATCATCCTGAAGAAGACCACCCCGCGGACCTGGCTGCCGACGCTCACGCTGGTCTGGGGCGTGGTCGCGACGCTCTGCGGCGTGGTGCAGAATTACGCCGGGTTTCTCGTGTCACGATTAGGTAGGGCTTGCCTCTCTGTGGACCGACCTAGCAGCAACACAAACCCATGCTAATACGCCGGGGCACAAACAGCCCTCGGAATCGCCGAGAGCGGCCTCTTCCCCGGCGTGGTCTTTTATCTGAGTATGTGGTACAAGCGCAACGAGCAACACTACCGCGTCGCGCTGTTCTTCAGCGCCGCGTCGCTGGCGGGGGCCTTTGGGGGGATTCTCGCCTGGGTACGTTTCTCGGCCCGATCGCACAGCAATTGACCCGCACGCAACAACTGACCGAAACCAGGGAATCGCCCACATGCGCGGCGTAGGAGGCTACAACGGCTGGCGCTGGATCTTCATCCTGGTGCGTGGTGCCAACCCGAATCCCTTCCATCCTCCCCCCCCCCCCCCCCGGGGGCCCTCAACCCTAACCCACCCCTGATCCTGATCTGTGTGCAGGAAGGCCTCCTAACCATCATCATGTCCCTGGCCGCCTACTTCTGGGTCTTCAACTACCCGTCGAGCGCCGAGTTCCTCACCGACCAGGAACGGAGTTACATCCAGCACCGGCTGAAGCACGACAGCGACGCCACGCGCCACGAGACCTTCAGCTGGGCGGCGGTGGGCCACGCCTTTTCGGACCCAAAAGTGTGGTTGTACGGGCTGGCCTTCCACACCCTATCGCTGCCGCTGTACACGTTGTCTTTGTTTATGGTAGGTCCTGCCCTTCCCACAATCGACATTCACCCCTGCTAATTCCCATCCCAAAGCCAACAATCATCTCAACCCTAGGCTACACCGCGGCGCAAGCCCAACTCCTGACCGTCCCGCCCTACGCCGTCGCCTTCTGCCTAACGGTCACAACCGCCATCCTCAGCGAGCGCACCCGCCGCCGCGCCCCCTTCATTTTAGGCAGTACCTCCCTCGCGTGTCTGGGCTACATATTACTACTTACCGACCCCCGCCCCGGCGTGTCGTATGTGGGGACCATCTTCGCCGCGGCGGGCATCTACCCGGCCGTGGCGATCGTGCTGGCCTGGCCGGCCAACAACGTGTCCGGGCAGACGAAGCGCGCCATCGCCAACGCGCTGCAGATCTCCATCGGGAACCTCGGGGCCGTGCTGGGCACGCAGCTGTACCGGACGGAAACCAGTCCGCGGTATTTCTTGGGTCATGGGTTCGCGTTGGGGTATCTGGTGGGGAATTTGGGGGTGGTGGGCCTGTTGTGGTGGGTTTTGAGGCGGGAGAATTCGCGGAAGGAGGGGGAACGGGGAGGTGGAGTTGTTGTTGCGGAGGGGTTCGAGGGGGCCGAGTTCCGTGGGGATGAGGATCCGCGGTGGGTGTTTCAGACTTGATTTCTAGAATGGACTGGACTGTATTGTACCATGGGAATGGAAGGGCGTATATGGTTCAGACGCATGCATGCGAAGGCAATGGGCGCGAGCTAACCGCGAAGCCCTAAACAACACCTCCCCTCATCGTCAACACCCTCGCATCCGCGATATCCAACCACCCTCCCTCGCTCCAGCACCACCACCCCGTCATAGTCCGCAAGACTCTCCACCCGATGCGCCACCGCCAGCACCGAGCACGACCGGAACGGCTCCTCCCGTAACAGCGCCTGCACCCGCGCCTCCGTCTCCCGATCCACATGGCTAGTCGCTTCATCCAACAACAGAACTCGGGCCCCACTGCGCTGCAGCTTGAGCATCGCCCGCGCGATCCCGAACAGCTGCGTCTGGCCGCGTGAGAGCGTGTCGGCGCCGAGCTCGGCATCCAAGCCCCCGCTCCGTTCAGCGAGCACGCTGTGCCACAAGCCCACGCGGTCCAGGGCGGCGATGATCTCTGCGTCGGGGAGGTTGCCGCTGCCGCTGCCGCCGGGGGTGGGGTCGGCGTTGAGCCGGACGGTGCACCCGGCGAAGATGAGAGGGTTCTGGGCGATTGTGACGAGGCGTTCGCGGACGGTCTCGCGCGGGATCGTGGATAAGTCGAGGTCGTCGATGAGGATCGAGCCGCTGGTTAGTTCGAGCATGCCGAGGGTTGTGCCGAGGAGGGAGCTTTTGCCGCTGTTTGTCAAGAGGTATGTGAGAAATGGGCGCAGTGGACTCGAGAGCTGGATGAGGTAGAGAGTGAATGGGAGGGATAGAGCTGACCTGCCGGTGCGACCACAAATTCCGATCTTTTGTCCGGGCCGCACTTTGAAAGATACGTCTTTTAGGATGGGAGCTGTGGGGCTGGAGGGTGCTGATCAGTGACTATCTCCGTAATTTGGGTTTGGGGGTTGGTTTGCGTACTTGTACTGCGCTGTTACCGCTTTGAACTCGATTGCGCCGCGGGCGGGCCAGGAAGCAGGAATGGTGTCGTTCGCAGGGGTGTCTTCAGGCTGAGTGCCCCGTTCAAAATCTTTGATGCGGGCAATAGAACCAAGAGAGATCTCGAGCTGCGTCCAGCCCGTGATCAGAGACGAGAGGCTCTGGTTGAAAGCTTCACAGCGCATACGTTAGCTCCTGGATATAAAGTAGACAAAAGGAAACAAATAGGTCGACATACAAAGAATGTTGTTGAGCGAGACACCCAAAAGTCCAATGCTAGTCGCTGCCCTTAGGTTGACGGCCAGACTCACAAGGAGGACCGCTTCAGCTGCAACAATCAGGTCTAGAACCAGAGCGAGCCACCTTTGAATGCAGTATAGCAGATAGTACGGCCGCTGAGAAACATCTAGAAGCCTAGAGCTCTTCTCACAGAACCTCTTCTGCCAGCCGAAGGCCTGGATTGTGCTGAGACCATCCATAGTCTCCATATAGTGCGAATACAACGGGCTCCTGCTTTCTAGATCAAGAAGTCGAATCTGTCGCGAGGTCTTCAGGTAGTAATGCTGCACAACAAACACTGCCGCAATGAGAACAGGCACAGTGATAGCCATCCAGGTCGAGCCAGTCGAAATGAGGGCAGCAGCAGCGATTGCGGTGAAAAGGTCTGTATGTTGTTAGTATGCTGCCATAGCAGAAATAGTTTCTTTCCATCCGCTGGTGGGTTGCAGCTGCTAACTGCATAATGGGGGACGGCTTACTTGAAATCGTGACCAGAAGGCCAACGGGTAGTTGACTCTCGATCAAGGTCATGTCCTGGCTGAATCGATTCAGAAGTGCGCCACTATCCATGGTTGCAAGCGTGGTTGGAGACGCTCTGACGCCAGTTAGCGAGGGATAACCCGGAATAAAGCATTGAAGCACATGTACATACCCCATGACAGTCTTCAGAACAACATAGTGAAGCTTGCGTGCGGTGGATGGGGATATGAGTATCAAGATTGCCCTAGTTTCAGGTGAGCTCACACCAGAGACTGTACTGCAGCTGACTTACCAGACATAACCACCCATACATATGACTTCCAGTATCGCCAACGCAACGTAAACTGTCACATAGAGTACTCTCTGCTCTCCCCCTCGGCTAGTCCATCTCTCGAGCCATATTTCTAGAAGCAAGGTTCAGCAGATAACGACGAGGTAGGACGGGAGGCAACGTACGGCTGAAGGTACTGCAGAAAACATTGAAAATCACGAAAAGAAGGAATAGCAGAGAACTCGACCAGCCAATCGAACGCAGGTAATATTTATACACTTGATAGTCGCCTGTTGACCGCTTCAGGTCGCTGAGCTGATTATCCTTGGCGATTTGCGCTGCATCCTCCCTAGGCATCGGCGTAGTGTTTTCTCTGCTACCCCTTAGTGTGTCTATCGTATCATGATCAGACGGCTCAGGAGAGATTATATCATCACAGTCGTCCTGCTCAAGTGTGCCGCTAGAAATGATCAGGGTCCTGTCGGCATAAGCAAGAGATGCAGCTAGAGAAGGGTTAACCACAAGGCCAGCGAAGTCAACGGTTGCTGTACTGCACTTACTGTCATGCGTAACGAGAATTACTGTCGAATTGAGCTTCCGAAACACACCCCTTTCCCCAAACAATCGTTCGAGTACCAGACTCTTGGTAACTATGTCCAATGCACTGAGAACATCGTCTAAGAGAACAAGATCCTTTCTAGCATATACTGCCCGAGCCAGAGCGATGCGATCCATTTGTCCGCCACTCAATCTAGCACCCAAGCCACTGCCGATCTGCATATCATCTCCTCCCGAGATAAGGCGCAGGTCCTCGTCGAGAGCACAAGCATGAAGCACGGTACTGTACCATTCGTGATCGATACTCTGCGGGCTTTCTTTCTCTGTTGTGACATTCCCACATATTGCGTTTCGTATGGTGGTGTTGGGCAACCACGTTCTCTGCGCGCAATAAGCTATGCGACGAGTAGACAAATTCACCGAACCCGTCTCGCAACCAACCTGGCCGAGAATAGCTCGGAGAAAAGTAGATTTCCCTGATCCCACCGGTCCGCGGATAGAAACGATCGCACCCCTGGGTACTTCAAGGTTGATTTGATTCAACAAAACCTGGCCCTCATTGGTCGGGCGGATGCTAGCGTTTTCAAAGGCCACAGTCAGAGAGTCCTGGCTGCTAGGATTGACCATGAGCGATGGGGCCTGTTCTGCAGCCCCAGGCATCGGTTTGCTACAGGCATGGTTGGCCGTCATATCATCCTGGTTGTCTTGCGATAGGCTATTTTCAGCAGGAATCAGAAGAAAGCTTTGAATCCTATCGAAACAACCCAAGGAGGCTGCCGTTGAGGGGATGGCACTCAGAAGCTTTGCGACCGGATTGGTCAGCAGGGTGATTATGGACAGACTGGTGAATGTTTTGGTGAAATTGAGCGAGTGGCCTTGCACAGCAAAGACTGCAAATGTCAGCGCAGGAGCTAATGCCCAGGGTAAATTCTGGATCATGTTCTGCCACACAATATGCCATCGAAAGGAAGACATCTGCTGTGTCTCGCTGACCCGTTTATTCTGGATGATCTGCGTGAAAGCCCTGCTTAGCCCCATTTGCTTCACAACTTGGATGTCTGTGAGCATCGAAGTAATGATTGCAAGGCGCTGTTGCACCGCATCCACCCAGATCTTTTGGCGGTTCCCAATATTCTTCGATATGTAGGTGCAGGCAAGGCTAGAGACTGTTTTCCATATATTAGTCGATCCTCCTGTCCACTTGTATTGTGGGATTCGCCTACTCATGACTATTATAACAGGAATCGCACTTACCCACCCTAGGCGGAGTGTGAGTAGAGAGATTCCAATGGCTACCTCGATTATACGTGCCCAGCATTCATGCAGCTGTACTAGGCAAGCAGATATCCGATCGATGTCGGTGGTCATTCGAGTGATCGCGGCTGACCGGTCCTCTAGCTGTCCATCTGGAATACACAGCATATGCTCGTACACCAGCGAGGAGGCTGATCCTCGGAACATAGTAATGAACCGATATAGTAGGTGATTGGAGTGAAGGGTGGAGATCGCTAGACCCAGATACACCAGGACTGTGGCGGCAATGAGGCCGTGACCTTGTTCGGTGCTTTGTCCGCTACCAAGCCAATCGAGAAGCCCGGCGATCAGAAAAGGCTGCGCGAAGGTGAAGCCGATGAGACACATCCGTGGAAACACTGCCATGAGCAAGGGCTTCCACAGCGTCTGACATAGTTTCCACGGAAATTCAAACCGCCGTGCTGGAATCCTGCGCTGGGCCCAAACACGCTGGGCCTTTTCGCTGACACTCGCCGAGTTCAGCGCCGGATCGAGATCATACATATCATCCATTGTTAATAGACGTCGTGATCCGACGGTAAACATGTGATTCAGCCACCACATGAACGACCGGTTGATGATCCCACTGGTAGATTCAGGGGGTAAACCTCGATAGTCGTCTGTCAGGTACTGTCGTTTCTCAAGACTCTCAAGCAGAAGCATTATCATCTTAGACCCCACGCTTATTGTGAAGAACACCGGAAGGAGGATGGTCTTTGGGAGACGCAGCCATAGCGTGCGGGCCTGGACTATATCGAACAGCAAGGTAAGAAGGAGGTATGCAGTGAGAAGTGAAGAAGGTCTGGCCGATCGGCCATCTTCTAACCAGCATAACACAAGAAGCTCCATTGCGACGATGAAATTGATCGAGGCTGATGGCACCGAGGCTTTGGTCCGAGGTAAATCATCACGAGTCCAGCACACAAGGAGCGTGAGTTGGATTAGAGCAAAAGTCAGGGTCGCGGCCTATCCCTCATATGAATTAATTCCAGGTGAAGTTGTCTTGGGGATGGACTGTCTTACTAGCTTGACAAACCGTAGAGAGTTGCGCTGGGTTCGTACATCTTTCTTGATGAGGTAGCCCACTCGTAGCGGAGAGGCAAGCAAGAAGACCGCCGCAGGAACAATCCCGAGGATGCTCTGTTCGAAGAGAAGCGTGAAGTCGAAGCCATTGCGACAACCCAGGGCTACTACGGGCCCCAAGACATTATCTGCATCGAGCGAGCAATTGGATGGGACTGATATTCGACCCGTCATCATGGGATACTCATGAGAAGATGGGGAAAGATGCAAGGAACAAAGCAGAAAGGAGGGGAAGACTGCCATGTATGCATCGCCCGGCTCTTATCGTCGGAGTCCGCAAAGGGTAATTAATTAGCCTCCATTGGGCCTTGCTTACTAGTACGAGTACGTGCCTCAATGCTTCAATGCTTCAATCCTTCCAAGTTGACAATATACCAACGTCGCTCGAATCGCGAGCAATGCACCAGAAAATGCTATAATGTCTCGACAATAACGTTTCGACCAGACAAGAAGAAAATTGTCAATGGGCAGCAATCAAGTCTAACAAAGAAATGGAGTATAAGTCGGAAGAAATAATGATTATATTGATTGATAAAGTTGATTGCTGCTAGCAGCAGGGCCATCAACCACAGATTGTAATAGTTAGTCGTTGTAGTCGTTGTAGTTGTAGAAGTAGTCGTTGCCAAGTTGTCGTCCCAGGGGTATAAAGTTTGGGGGAAATCCAGTCCCGCCCATAAATGGGTAGCCTTCCAGCTGTCCCTTCAACGCCAGTTTTCCTTCCCAAATCCCAAATCCCAATGTCCTTCCAGTCCCAATGACTCCCAAGAGAAGAAGAAGAAATGAAAAGAAAGGAAAAAGCAGAAGAAAGCAGAAAACAAGTCACAAAACAAAGAAAACACGCCAGAAACACGCCAAAACACATAACACACACAAAACGCAACGAACGCAACACACACCACACACACAACACACACACCACACACACACAACACACACACCACACGCAAAACACAACACACACAGAATACAATCCATACACATAACGGGATCGTATAATTGGAAATAGGGAAAATTAAATCTAATCTAACATGCGAGCATTTCTATGTGCCTCGCAAATAGCCTACGCGGTGTATGTAATGACATTGAACAACTTTTCGAAATCAACGCCAGTGCCGAAACGAAAAAAAACAGATAGGAAACACATGATAATCGAGGTCACCAATCAGAACTGTGAGTGCACAGATATCCTTTGGTTTGCCCGCATATCGTACATCATCCCAGAAATGACCTAGGGTGCCATGACCAAGGCAAGAAGAGCCATGCGGCAGTAAAGGCCATATCTCATCTGTGTCCAAGTCAGCGTATATCCAAACATATTAGACGGCCAAGCAACACTAACCTGGCGGAAGTAAGCAGCCCGCTGGTCGAAGTCAACCTCCTCCGAGATCTCAGCATTGCGAGGCAAGGGGTGCATGACAACCATGTGGCTCTTGGCGTGCTTGAGAAGAGCGTTGTCAATGACAAAGGTGTTCTTCAAACGCTCGTACTGCTCAAGATCGGCAAAGCGCTCCTTCTGGACACGGGTGGAGTACAGAACATCGGAGCGGGCGACGATCTCAGGGGTCAATTCCTCAGACTCCACAACAAGCTGGCCAGAGGCAACAATCTGCTGGCGGACCTCCTCGGGCAGAGACAGCTCCTTGGGGGCAACGAGCTGCACTCGGACGTCGTAGAACTGGAGCAACTTGAGCAGAGAGTGGACAGTGCGGCCGTATCTCAGATCACCGGTAAAGGTGATGGTGAGACCTCCGACAGTTCCAAGCTCCTCACGAATGGTGAAGAGGTCCAAGAAGGCCTGAGTGGGATGCTCAACGCTGCCGTTTCCGCCGTTGATGACGGGAACAGGGGAGAACTTGGCCGCAATCTCAGTGCTGTTGGCATCAGGGTGACGCAGAACAACAGCGTCTCCGTAGCAAGCAAGAGTGCGCAGAGTATCCTGGAGAGTCTCGCCCTTCTTGGTGGAAGAGTGCTCAGTGGAGATGGCAATCGTCCGTCCACCAAGGCGCTGCATAGCAGCGTCGAAAGAGGCGGAGGTTCTGGTGGAGGGTTCGTAGAACAAGGTTGTCAGCAGACGGCCCTTGAGAATGTCGAGCACTCCCTGGCGCTGAACACCCAAGCGCATCTCCTGGGCCACGGTGAAGAGCAAGTGCAAATCGGCGCGAGTGAACTGGTTCACCGAAAGCACATGCTTCTGCTTGAAGGGAGAGCGAGAAAGCATGTCCATCAAGGAAGAGGAGACCTGAGGCACGGGGGTATACAGGGGAGGGCCGAGTTCACCAACCGCGGGAGCAGCCTGTTCGGCAGCGCGACGGGCTTGGCGCAGAGGAGTGCCAGAGATGGAGAGTCTCCGGTCGAACGAACTCTCCGGGCGAGCGCGAACCATGGGGGACATAGCCTTCACAGACGGGGAAGCAGGAGCGATCCGGTGAGTAGACATGTCAATTCCCTTGGGGGCGTCGGGAGTGAGCGCGCCATCGAGGCAAGAGGTCTTGCCCTGGAACGTCACACGCTGCACGGCACCACGGACATTCTTGCCATTGAGGGGCGACCAGCCATGAGGACTCTGGAAAGTGTAAGGGCGGTCGATCTCAATTTCAACCGAGCTGTCAGCCTGGTCGTGGATCTCGAAGATCTTCTTAGGGTTCTCGTAAAGGCGAGCGATGATGTCCTCAATAGTCAGGCGGCCCTCAGCAACGGCGGTGAACAGAAGAGGCAGGGACTCAGCGACACCAACAACAGCAGAGCCCTTATCACCAGCCATCTGGAAGGGAATGCTACCGATGGAGAAGACATCAATAGTGCTCAAGTGTTCCCACAAGGCCTTCTGATCCTCGGCGGAGGGCAAGAAGGACTCGGGGTAGTCTTCCTTGGAGAAGAACAGAGAGAAGATAGACACATCGCAGGTCACCTTGAGACCCTTCTCCTTGCTGAGAGCGATCAGGGTAATGTCCTCCTTGGAAGTCACGTTCATCACATGGATGTTGCGGCTGTGGAGACTAGCCAGGAGCAGCACAGATGCCAAGTCCGTAGACTTAGCATCGGTGATGATGGGCTTGCTAGAAGGCCAAGCAGCGAAGTGGCTAGTGACAGCAGCAACCTTGCTGATGTTACCGGAAAGGTGGTTGAAAGGAATGAAGAGAGCACCGACATCTCCAGTCAACTGGCCGATCTGGTCAGCGTTGGTCGAAGTCGCCGAAACAGAGAAGTTGAAGTCACAGAAGGCACCCTTCTGGGCATTCTGCTGGACAACCTTAAGCGCAGCCGCTTCGGTAACCGAGGCATCAACACCCACAGGCATGACGCGCACCATGCTGAATCCGGAGGCAATGGAAGCCTTGGTCATGAGCTCGAAGTCGGAGGAGCCGGGAGTGACAAGACCAGGGACGAAAGCAGCGACGTTGATCAAACCGGGAAGGATGATAGTGCGGTGGCTGGTCTGGTAATCCAGAGTACGGACAGCGAGATCGTAGTGGCGGGCAATGGCCTCAATCAGGATCTTGGCGTTCTTGACGTTGGTGACCAGAGGAGTCTGGTAGTCAACGGCCATACGACGAGTACGGTAACCCTTACTCATGTAGTTGGCAGGGCGTCTGAAGCGGTTGTTCGACGGCAAGTTGATGTACAGATCAATGAGGTTGTTGGCCAAGTGCTGAGTGAGAGAGTACTCGGACTTAATGTCCTCCTCTTCACCAGGCAGGATTTCAAGGAACTTGCAAGGAATGCCGTTTTCCTTGAGGAAATCAGCAGTACCAGCGGTGGCAAACAAGTTGTACTGCAACTGGTGAAGCTTGCGAATGGACGGGAGCATCTCCATCTTCTCCTTGTAGGAACCAATGGAGAAGAGAATGTTGCGCTTAGGAAGACGGAAGCCAGTGGAGATCAAGCCCTTGAGGTAAGCTTCATACTTGTCACGTCCGAAAGAAGCGACTTCACCGGTCGAAGCCATCTCAACACCAAGAACAGGATCGGCACCAGAGAGACGAGAGAAGGAGAATTGAGGAACCTTCACACCGACGTAGTCCTTGGGAATGGAGACAGGAGGATACTCGGCGAAGGGCACTCCAATCATAGCCTTGGTAGCCATCTCGATGAGGTCGACACCCATGGTCTTGGACACGAAGGGGAACGAGCGGGAAGCTCTCACATTGCACTCGATGACCTTGATATCGTTGTCCTTGGCAATGAACTGGATGTTGTAAGGACCGGTGACATTGAGAGCATTACCGATCTTTCTGGTGGCCTCTTCAATGCGACGGACGGTTTCAGGGTCCAGGTCCTGAGGGGGCAGGATCAAGGTAGCGTCACCGGAGTGGACACCGGCGTTCTCAACGTGCTCGGAGATGAAGTGTCCGACCATAACACCGTTACGAGCGACAGCATCCATCTCAATTTCCTTTGCGTTCTCAATATACTTGGTGATAACGACGGGGTGCTCACGCGAGACATCGGCAGCCTGGTTGAGGTAGCTGGCCAGATCATGCTCAGAGTAGACAGTGTTCATAGCAGCACCAGACAGTACGTAAGAGGGACGCACAAGCACGGGGTAGCCGACCTTGTTACAGAACTCAGTAGCCTCATCGATGCTGGTCAATTCCTTCCAGGCTGGCTGGTCGACGCCGATACGGTCCAGCATGCGAGAGAACTTGTAACGGTTCTCAGCGCCATCAATCATCTCAGGAGAAGTACCGAGGATCTTGACGTTCAAGCGGTGGAGGGGCAGAGCAATGTTGTTCGGGGTCTGGCCACCCATGGAGATGATAACACCGGTGGAGGATTCCAACTGGTAAATATCCAAAACGGTCTCAAGGTTGATGTTCTCGAAGTACAGACGATCAGCCTCATCATAATCGGTACTGACAGTCTCAGGGTTGTAGTTGACCATGACAGTCTTGTGGCCCTGCTCGCGCAAAGTACGAATGGTACGCACAGAGCACCAATCGAACTCGACAGAGGAACCAATGCGGTAGACACCAGAGCCGAGAACCATGATACCATTGTCGTTGAAGTTCACGTCGTGCTCAGAAGCATTGTAGGTGAGGTACAAATAGTTGGTGAACGAGGGGAACTCGGCAGCGACAGTATCGATCTGTTTGACGATCGGAACAATGCCCGACTCGACACGCATACGTCTGACAGCAAGCTCGTTGGAGCTCAAGAACTTAGCTAGCTGACGGTCGGAGAAACCAAGCTGCTTGGCGCGCTTGATCAGGGGTCTAGGCACTGTGGTAGCATTGTACGAGGTCATAAGCTTTCCGAAATCGCTGAGACCCTTGAGTCTGCTCAAGAACCACTTGTCGATCGAGGTGAGCTTCCAGATTTCATCAACACTGTAGCCAGCGGCCATGGCGTTGGCGATTGCGAACAGACGCTGGTCAGAAGGAGTCTGCAATTCGCCCTTGATGGACATGAGAGCGTTCGTCTCGTTAAAGCCCATGTTGTGGAAGTCAACGGAGCGAATGGCTTTCTGAATTGCTTCTTCGAAGGTTCTTCCAATGCTCATGACTTCACCAACACTCTTCATGGAGGATCCAAGCTGAGTGGAGACGCGAGTGAACTTCTTCAAATCCCAGCGGGGAATCTTCACAACGCAGTAATCCAGCGAGGGCTCGAAGCAAGCGCACGTAACCTTGGTGACGGAGTTCTTGATCTCATTCAATGGGATGTTGAGACCCAACTTGGCCGCAATGAAGGCAAGGGGATAACCAGTGGCCTTGGAAGCAAGTGCAGAAGATCTCGAGAGACGAGCGTTGACTTCGATAATGCAGTACTCCTTCGAGAAGGGGTTGAGAGCATACTGAATGTTACATTCACCAACAACGCCAAGGTGACGGATGACGTTGACTGCAGTTGTACGCAGCATGTTGTAGTCCTCGTCAGAGAGGGTCTGGGAAGGAGCGACAACAATTGAATCACCGGTGTGGATACCGAGAGGATCAAAGTTCTCCATGTTACAAACGGTGATACAGTTGTCCCTGCAATCGCGAACGACTTCGTACTCAATTTCCTTCCAGCCCTTCATACTGCGCTCAATGAGAACCTGGGGAC